GTTGGCAAGACAATGCTCACGAAAGAAGTTGCTAGACGAGCCATGGATGAAAAGTTATTCAGTGAGGTGGTTGCGGCCACAGTTTCTCAAACTCCTAACCATGAACTTATTCAACAAGAAGTTGCAGAGAAGCTTGGTTTAAAATTCCGCGAGAAAAGTGTACCTATAAGAGCAAACCGGCTACAATTTCGATTGAGGCAAGAAAAGAAGATACTCATAATTTTGGATGACATTTGGGAGAATCTTGAATTGAATGAGGTTGGAATGTCTTTTGGGGATGCTCAGAAGGAATGCAAGATATTGCTAATCTCTAGATTTCAGAATGTGTTATGCAATGATATGGAGGCTGAGAAGAATTTTCAAGTTGGACCTTTAACTGATGATGAAGCAATAAGTTTGTTTAAGAAAATGGTGGGTGATTGGACAGAAAAATCGGATTTTCGAGATTTGGCAACTCAGATTATTGAGAAATGTGGAGGAATACCGGCTACTATTGCAAAAGTTGCATCTGAATTGAAAAATAAAAGGTTGTTTGTTTGGAAGGATGTCTTGACACAACTAAAAAGGTCTGCCAACTAATACAAAACAATAGTACAAGAGTGTGAACGACATTTGAAGTAAACAAGGTCACAAGTTGCTTTCTATTGTTGGATAGAGCCAAAGCATTACCAATTCCCATTTCTTCTCGGATGGTAGTGGAGCTGTTTGTAAACAGCCTTCACTATTTTAGTTCTAATGTAGTTCTCCGTGTTTATTCAAGTATGTGTTAATCAAAGATTTGGTTAATCAAATTAAGCCGTCACTATTTAATTGTGGCTAATTATAGCCAGGAGTATCTTCCATGTGATGTTTCATTTATGAGTAGCTATCTTAAGGTGGCTAATAATCTCTGCTAAAATCTTCAGCTAAATATGGAGAACATGATATATTTATTGAGTGTCTACCTTATTTATAATCAGTTAAAAGAGAAAAACAGAGCCCTAATAACCGATACATTAACCATATTATTGAAAGTTTTAATTTGGTCGAGTTTTATGTATTAATTTATACAATCTTAGAACCTTTCAGCTCTGTAAATGTCATATGAAACAAGAAGTTAAGAGATCCAAATGTTTAGCAGCTTTGTTGGTCAAGCTGGCAATATATCTAAAGAATCAAACTCACTCAAAAGAAAGAAGTTAAATTAGCTCCTTAATAACAAGCAGTGAATGTCTCATAAATTTAAATAGCCATTACTTGCAATATGCATGCAATATTTTCTCTTGTCATTTGCTTAAAAAGTTTTCTAAAAGAATGTCGTTTACTTAAAGTTGCAGACATCTCAAATTACAAATAATGATATTTGATATATGAGCTAATAAGATGAATTATGCTGTCAAAATCCAAAGCAAAATTCTAAACAGAACTTTTTAGTACATCATTTTTAGTTCTCATGTAATCTCTTTACAAAAAAACCACACTAATAGTGCTAAATTTATCTCACTCATTGTGTATAGCTTTCAACACTGAATCTGGTAAAGGATTCACTTTAACGAAATTCAGCCCCAAGTCAATACAACAGTGAATTGGGTTTTTGTCATCAACCATCAAAATCTTCATGCATCCTATGTCGCGCCAATTACGATCGTGTCGTGCCAATTACGACCATGACTGTTGTGTGCGATCCAGTGTGTTGGACATTCTTCATCATTATAACCTATTAAGACAACAAGGTGTTTTCCTTTCTTATTGCAGAAGAGTGACATAATCATCCTAAATATTAAAACAAAATTCGATTAGGAAACTATCACCGGACGACGAAGCACGAGGTTCTTCACCTGATGCACTACACTCTTTTGTTGTGTACATTTTGAAGGCTAGCTGAGAAAAGGGTTCAGAAAGAACTACTAAAGATTAAAAAAAAAAAA